AAAGGCCAGGTTCTGATCCCAAAGCAAACACCATTAGAGGGTAATCTCCCTGGTCGACCTCTCCCTGAGAGAGCCATGGGCTCAAAGATTAGTTATAAGACCACATGAGTAAACAAGCTAGCTAGGCAACTCCTCTCATTCCTTTGTTTCTACTCTAATTTATTTAACTAAGGGGACAAGGCTGAGTGAATTCCCACAATGCCTTTGTTCTGGGGGACAGGAAGACACAGAGAGGCAAAAACGATGTATGCCACTAGTCTCTCTAAATGAGTTAACAGGGGATTTGAACTCAATATGAGCTTTGGGAATAAACGTGATAAACATGTTTTTTTCAGGAGATACCAACAAGCAAAGTCTAAGTGCTTCTTTGCCTGCCCTGCCCTTATAAATCTGAATTTCCGGGACAAGATGGATGGAAGTTGAGTCTCAGGTGATGAGTTCAGCTATGTATGGAAAGAAATAAAACAGCATGGGGAGGAGAAGTTCTTTAAAAGTTATAATTGGTTTTTCTAAAGTTTGGAGCAATAGATGTACAACCAAGGGCCTTGCTTAATTTCCTACTCAGTATAGGCTCTTTTAGCTCATCAAATATTTACTGAGGGTCAGTGCTATCTGGAAAGGCAAAAATAATGCAGCTCTCAAGTTTTGCTTATAAACAAGCAAGGGAAATGACCACCTATTCCCTCACTAATGTAATAGTTTACACTTGTGTTATGCAATGTTTATAACCAACAGTATGCTACAAACTTTTCTAGGTGTATTGCCAAGTTTGGGTCCTTGTGCAAATGTTATTGCTTGGGTTTTTTTCTCCTACAGCTGCGGGTACTTACCATTAGTGATGGTTGTATGACTTCTGTCTAGTTGCATGGGTCATGTGAGACTGTAGGAGATGGAGTCTAGTTGAGACAATTAAATACAAGTGTAGCAAAACATCAAGAGTGCTGCCAGAAAACACACCAGGTTGCCTGTAGTATTGCTACTAAATGTGATACCTACAGCATGGGTATGGCCTGGGAGTTTGAGGAAATTGCAGACTCAATCTCCAGTCCTGCTTCAGACCCAGTGAATCAGAATCTGCACTTTAACAAGGTCTCTGGTGATTTGTATGCATGTAAAAAGACAGTCAGTGGCTTCCAGTCTAGAAGCCCTTTCTCATATGGATGCATAAGAGACCTTCATCAGGGCATTAAACAAGCCAATTGACATCCAAGGCTCAGCCAAATAATTTGAAGATAAAATGTAATATTTGCATTACATTAATATATAATAATATAAATGATAATCTCTTCTAGAGCCATCCTATGGTTTCTAATGTGGGAGAGAACAAGCACACATTCAGACAGCTGAGAGTTACAGTTTACCCAACACTTGCCTTATATCATCCCCTTTGAGACTTGCCACAGCCCAATGAGGCAAGTGACACAGGCTCTAGTGCCACATCCACTCTACAGGTGGAGAGACTGAGGTTCTCAGAGGTGAAGAACCTCCCCAAAGTCACAGGACTGTAATGAGATCCCACTGGGGCTTGAACACTAACTGCCTGGCCCAGGGAAAGAGAGTTGTTTTACAGCTGACTCTGAACCAGTTTATTAAAAAAAGACCAGGATGGTTGTTTGACTGAAAAGAAATGAGGATGGGAGGATGAAGTGGAAGGATCGCTTGAGGCCAGGAGTCCAAAACCAATCTGGTTAATATGACGAGACCCCATCTCTACAAAAAATAAAAATACAAAAAGTCAGGCATGATGGCTTACACCTGGGGTCCCAGCTACTTGCAAGGCTGAGGGAGGAAGATTGCTTAAGCCCAGGAGTTACAGAGTGCAGTGAGGTAGGACTGTGCCAATGCTCCAGCCTGGGCAACAGGGCAAGACCCCATCTCTGGAGGGAAAAAGCAAGGGAAAGAAATGTTCTTAGCAGCACAATGACCTATGCCGGTAAGAAAGCAGGATTTCTCTAATGGGAAGCTGGTCAAGGTAGATAAGCTGACATAATGCAGGAAGCTTCAGATACCAGATCCTGAGTGTGGAGCTCCATGAGGAAGAATCTACCTTCATATTCATCACCTTCCTAGGTACCCAGGGGGGAGATGAAGTCATCAGACCATCCCACCGAGATCTAGAAACCATCCAGGATAACATGTCTCCCTCAAATCTAGGACAAGTGACTGCTTTTGGCAATGATGGTGTTTTTTTCTCCTCAGCAGGGTGACTGAACTCTGTCTCCAGGAGGGACTGCAAAAAAACAGATTTAGGGCTTCTTGCTGCTATGAACCAACTTGAAAAGGAAAACCCATTGTTCAGCCTTGTTTTCTCAGCTACCTGCTAACCTGATTGTGGTCACTTAGGGAAAAGTTCCCCACAGAGAAACTGAAGAGCTTTGCTTAAAGTAATCAACAGAGACCTTGGGGGCTCCTACAGACCTCAGGAGACTTTTTTTAGCAACTGTGTCTGGGAACCTTTGTCCTGTGGTCCTAATCACTCCTCCTCACATTGTCTATAAAACCCTGGAGCCTGACAGACTTCACTAAAAGGGTCCACGGGCCTTCAGTAAAAAGGTCCGCGTGGATTCTGTCATCTGAGGCAAGACTGGAGGACTCACAGCACCGCATAGGTTCATCACCATTTTGTGGTGATTGAACACTGACTGAAGTGTAATATCGCTTCACCCTTTTCTCACCATCCTCCTGGGGCCACTAACTTCATGTGGAAGGCCAGGGTAGGAGAACAAGAAGCAGAATTCCTGGGTTGATGCCCAATTAACTCAATATGTCACTAGCTTATTTCAACCCATCTTCAGGAAAAATTAAAAAGCAAAAGTCACAAGGGACATCTTGGCATTGATTACCTGACATCCAAGCATTGACAAGCTATGTTCAATGCATTATGCTATAAATAATAATAATAATAAACTGTGCATAGTGGCTCATGCCTATAATCCAAGCACTTTGGAAGGCCAAGGCAGGTGGATCACCTGAGGTCAGGGGTTCCAAACCAGCCTGGCCAACATGGCAGAACCCTGTCTCTACTAAAAATATCAAATTAGCCAGGCATAGTGACACATGCCTCTAATCCTAGCTACTCAGGAGACTGAGGCAGGAGAATCGCTTGAACCTGGGAGGTGGAGGTTGCAGTAGCCGAAATTGTGCCATTGCACTCCCACCCAGGCAACAAAAGTGAAACTCTGTCTCAAAAACAAAATAATAATAAATATACTTTAAGAGTCCTCCTGGACTTACAGAATTAAGGTTGGCCAGTGTCTTTTTCATACATAGAAACAGAGGATTTCTCGTCATTCCATTCCTCCCACTTGCCCCAAGATCAAATATGTCCTATGCTCATTTGTCAGAAAGCAATGGTATCAGCAAAGCAGAAACCACTCTGGATATTTCAAACAAAGAAGTTCGTTATAAAGGTTTGGAGATGGATGGAAAAGCAACTGGAAAAGTGGGTGAGTCTGGCAAACAAAAAGAAGAGGTGGTAACCAGAGATCAATAACTGCTACGGGGCTGAGTGCTGTGGCTCATGCCTATAATCCCAGTATTTTGGGGAGCCAAGGCAGGATTGCTTGAGCTCAGGAATTCAAGACCAGCCTGGGCAACATGGGGCAACCCCATTTCTATAAAAATAATAATAACAATAAATTTTTTAAAACCGTAAAAATAAAAAAAAATATTTAAAGCTGCTAATGCGGCCAGGCACGGTGGCTCACGCCTGTAATCCCAGCACTTTGGGAGGCCGAGGAGGGTGGATCACAAGGTCAAGAGATCGAGACCGTCCTGGTCAACATGGTGATACCCCGTCTCTACTAGAAATACAAAAAAAATTAGCTGGGCATGGTGGCGCGTGCCTGTAATCCCAGCTACTCGGGAGGCTGAGGCAGGAGAATTGCCTGAACCCAGGAGGTGGAGGTTGCGGTGAGCCGAGATCGCACCATTGCACTCCAGCCTGGGTATTAAGAGTGAAACTCCGTCTCAAAAAAATAAAAAATAAAACAAAAAAAGAAAGTTTGTCTAAAAATCCACTTCAGGGATTTGTAACCAGCATTGAATAAGATCATGTATACAGAGTGTTTTCTCACCGCGGCTTGCAGGTAGTCAGCACACACACATGGTTTTTAGTTTTGTATAGTCCCCGTCCATGAATCACACCCAAAAAAGGTATGTTGTTCACACCAAGAGCTCTGGCCTGTGGAGCTTTGTCTACTTGGTGGTAATTTATTGGAATTTGAGATTTAGAATGAGGAAATACCAGCCTTCAAAGCCCCAGGCCTACTATGAAATAGCAAAGCCAATGGTCCCAGATGCCTTCGTAGCACACTTAGTAAGTAGGACCACTTTTCTCTCACCTTGTAGGCACACTTGAGTTTATTCACTCATTTTTCATTCATTTCTTATATGCCATGTATTGGGTACTAGGGATCCATAATACAGTGGACCTACAATTGACCGGAAGCAACACTTTCAAAGCATCATTCAGGATGAGTATTTCTTGTCAAGTGGATTCAAGGAACAGTGCAAAGGATCCATGGCCTCAGTCACCATGAAGGGCCTCCCAAGAGCCAACCATCCTGGGCACATGTAAGTGAGTGGAGACATGGAACTCACCCTTACAAGGCCTAGAACATGACAGATCATACAAGACAGAAGCCCAAATAACTAAGAACAGGAAGCTGAAGGTGAGAGGTGGGTCCTAAAGAATTCTGTGAAAATGCTTTGTGTTTGTGGATTTATCACGCAGAATGAAACCTTTGTTTTTATTCACAGGGTAGACACACTCTCTATATAGAATCTATGAAGGGACATTTCTGAATTTTTTGAGGCCTATAGTGAAAAATGGATTATCTCAGGCAGCTCAGGATGAATAATGCAGTCACCAAGAGGGGCAGGGTGGCCACAGGTGGCCAGCAGCAGGGATGGGCATTGTGAGCCATTGGATGGGGTTGTGAGAAGTGGCATTGTGAGTCACTGGCCTGACTTTGTTGTTTCCTGGTAATCAGGTGACATAGGAGGCTTTGTGGGGGACAGGCATCAGCCAGGACCAGCAGCCTTCAGTTGGAAGCTGGTAGTGGGAGGAGGAGGAGCTCAGACTACTCTCACGGAAGTGTTTGTGCCCTTGGCGCTTGCTCTGTTGCTTTGTTTTTTTCTTTGTTTTATTTTATTTTATTTTGTCTGTTGCGTTGTTTTGTTTTTTCTTTTTTTTTTATATGTTGATTTGTTTTGTTTTGTTTTTTTCTTTTTTTTTTTTTTTATTTTGTGTGTTTTTTGTTTTGAAAGTCCCCTTGTAAAGCACCCATGGGGAATTGCCTAGGCCCCAGCACTGGCCTCAGTTGTGCCTGCTGTGAGCCTTGTGGCCAGTCTGTGGCACCTGCGAACCAGCATCCACCACTGCAGAGCCTGCCGTGTTACATCCCGGAGTGGTGGAGGTCCAGGACGAGCAGTCCATAAAATCAAAGAGGCGCAAAGGTAAAGAAGCCATGGGCACCATTTGCTCTCTGGCACATCTCTGGCCACCACCTCCCCCACCTCCTTCCCATCCCCTCACCCCAGAGACATCCTCAGCTTCCAGCTCCCTCCTGCCTATAGCCAGCTTTCCCGGAGCTGGGCATGGGGGACAAAGGCTAGTCCTGCCTCTTGTCTTTGTTGTTGAGCCTTCTTGCTTGAGGCCTTTTTGGTCTAGTCTCTCCCTTTCCCCGATGAAAATTCAGATACTCCAGTTTTGGAGTCTCCATCCCATTCTCTAGCCTTAGCTGTCCAGCTACTATGGTACCTCAGTGAAGGAGCCGGTTAAAGGCCCAATCATTTCTTTTCTCCTATTCGATAAAGAAGCTAATAATTGGAATAATTCAGACTCAAATATTTGGAGACTTCTTAAATTTAAAATAGAGTTTGCCATGGAAGAGATTATATGGTGTTCTTAATAGATGGTTTGAAGTCACCTTGACGGAAGCAGCTTTATTTCTTCCAATTGTAATTTGAAAACCGAAGGAAAAATTGAGGGACATGCTTAAAATGACTGCAAAAGGTATCAAATGTTACTGCCCGAGCTGTAAAAAAGCTCTTTTTGTTGTGGTTTTACCCAAAAGTTTAGCCCTGGAGCTCTGATTACTTTAACATTCCCATTTTGACATGAATGTCTCTTCAGCCCTACTCCAGTAACTTCACGGGCTTAGTTTACCTCCTTGCTCTGAAAGACAGGTAGAGCTAGCTCATGGTTACAGGTTCCAAAAGAGATGAAATGACTTTAGACTTGAATTTGGAAGGTAAAGACTTGGAGTTAGAAGGCCAGACCCTGCCTGTGAAAAAGAGTTTGTTTTCATGGCTCCCCTTCCTACAGGATGGAAAAGGGGAGGGGAGAGGAAACATTTCATTTTTTTGCTATGGTCAAATTGAAGACAAAAACTAAGACGTGTAAGACAGGAGAGGAGCATTTAGGTACAAAATCAGTCAAACATTTGTGTATCACTACATTCATTGAGCAAATGAAAGCTACCAGACTCAGGAAACCAGAGATGCTAATGGAACTGACGTTAGTAACCAGGGTTTTCTACTGAGTTCAGCACCCAGGGTGACTTCCAATAACAACCACCCTCCCCTCCACACACACACTTTTCTCAGGACCGGAAAGCTCAGGCAGCCCAGGATGAATAATGCAGTCACACAGAGGGGCAGCAGCAGGGATGGGCATTGTGAGCCACTGGGTGGGGCTGTGGGGCGGGGCATTGTGAGCCACTAGGTGGGGCTGTGGGGCGGGGCATTGTGAGCCACTGGGTAGAGCAAGTACTTACTGTAAACCCTGCCTATAGGTAAAAAGACCATAATGTAAACAGACCTTCAATTGTCCCACACCTTCCTTCTGAACCATCCCTTCCCTATGGTATACACGCCCTCAGTCTGAGGGGTGTGAGGGGTAATGGCACAGGGATCCACCATCTTGTCTTGCCACCACTCAAGACACAGACATGGCCTCGGTTTATCAGTCCTTATTAAATGTTTCTTTCTAAGAAAAAAAAATAAGCTGGTACTTCTACATAAAGGAGAAGTATGGCGCTGTAAAAAAGAGTAAGATGTCTTTTTATTGCTATGGAGTGATTCCCAAGATAGGGTACGCAGAAAAGCAAAGAGAACATGCAGTAATATACATGAAAGAAAGCAGGGGAAAGAATGTGTATTTCATTATTTAAAAATAAAAGCCACTGTTGGGGAAGTCTTGATGATGACCTGTGACAGTTTCCTTCTAACTTCACTGGGCAGCCAAAGCGCATATTTTCTCAAAATTTTATTTTGCTATGGGTTTTGCAGAGGACGTTAACTGTGCACTTTTCACCTTTGAGTTAGTCAGAGAAAGCTTCACTTTGTGATTCATTGTACATTACGTGGTATCCAGACTGCTCTTTCATTTTATTCTATCCTCTCAATGTTTTGAGTCAGGTGTAAAATGGGAATTATACTTGTGTTACATATGAGGAGGCTGGTTCTAAGAAGGCGACTCAGTACATCAAGAGTGTAAATTCTAGATATATGGCATATAAAACTAGAATTTATAAGAAGGCGTGCATATGACCTGCTTTAAATACTACCTTTTCTAAAAAAAAAAAAAAACTTTTTTTTTTTTAGCTTACTAAAAAAGCAATTAAGCCTCAGGATGAAAACAGGAATATTAGATAATGAGAAATAAAATGGGGATACTTGTGACACAGTAATGCTTTTTATTTTTAAAAGACAGGGTCTTGCTTTGTCACCCAGGCTGGAGTGCAGTGGCGTGATCATAGCTCACTGCAGCCTCAATCTTCTAGGCTCAAATGACCTTCCCACAACAGTCTTCCATGTAGCTAGGGATAGAAGGGCTCACCACCACATCTGGTAAGTTTTAGATTTTTTGTAGAGACGAGGTCTCACTGTGTTGCCCAGGTTGGTCTCAAACGTCTGACCTCAAGCAATCCTTCTGCCTTAACCTCCAAAAATGTCAGGGTTACAGCCATGGCCCAGCACACCTAGCCCAGAAATGTTCCTAAAAGTCTGAAACAATAACTTAAAAGCTATTAAGAAATATATAAAAAGATAAACATATACTATGGTATATGAAATGTCACCGTTCAGTCATGGTCACAACAGTGATTAAAATATCCAACAGTTCAGGCAAGTCTGAGAACTGAGAGGGACATACAGGATTGGTTTGGAAGCCAGAATTAGGATTGTCAGAGCTGGGAAAGCAGAAGCAAGGCAAGAGTGTGCACAGGAGTGGGGCACACAGCAGCTCCATGGTATGCCGTGTGTCCTCTTTTATGGCAGGCCAGCTCCAGCCCAGCAGATGAGAATCACATGATGGGTGGAAAGAGTGGATTCAGGTAAAATCTCAGACCATGCATCGTAACAGAGAGACTTAAAATGTTTGCCTTTAAGTCATAAAACTAATAAAAGTGACAACATAGGGATAATAGAGTAGGTCAGTAAATGCGGCAAGCCACCTGCCACCTCTCCAGAGCGTCAACCATCCCACAGAAATACTAAGGCAGCAGGATTTCACAGAGCTTGTGAGAAGAGCTCTCGGAAATCCTGGTCCAGGGCATGATCTAGAGGACTCAGGTGTTCCGGGATCTCTATCCCCGGGGAACCAACTACATGATTACCTCAAATCTATCACTCCTCACTGTGGTGACTCTGGGCAAGTCACTCAAAATATCTGAGTTTTAATTCAGTGAATTGGAAAATACGGGTTGTAGCCCCTTCCCTGCCTGTCCCTTGGGGCTGACTTGGGGATCAGGGAAATCACAGATCTCTGTCATGAGCTGGAAATCATGTGGCCATGGAAACTGTGAAGTCACTTTCCATCCTACCCTGCGCAGAGACATGCAAGCTCCCTCTCTGTATTCAACCACTACCAAGTGTCTGGATTATCCTTCCCGACATTGATTGAACATTTTAGGGCATTTACAAACACATAAGTCTTTTTAAGTCTTTATCTGCATTTCATCCTTTTAGACACTATAGACCTTAGTAGGTCTATAGCCTAGATCTACTAATGTTTCCACATCTGAGAATAGGGAAGAGTGGCACATGAACCCATGTTCATATCCCTCTCCCAGGTATGTGCAGATTCTAAGTAGGATTTGAACCCAGCCTATTTTTGGTAACTTGGAACTTCTGCCTTTCTATATTTTCTCATCTGAATTAAGGTATCTGCCTGCACAAACAAATCTTCCTAGAACCCAGATCTAATTCAGGTAGCATTGAAAAGCAGTCGGTGAAAACTAGGATCAAAAGTTTAAACTGAGAAAGTTTTTACTAATTTCTCTGTGGTCCTCTGCCAGCAAGATGTCAAGCACTGTCTTTATTATAATACATTTCTGCCTTGCAGGTTTGGCTGGCCACAACAGGAGCTGGGCAGCAAAAAAATGGAGGCATAAGACCATTTTCCCCAATGAAAATGAAGGTAGGGTGGAAATTATATCATTAAGTTTACTGAAGCAAATAATTTCAGTCTACTCATCCAGTGTCCCACATGAGAGAAACTCAGTAAATGTTGTGTCATGTTCTTCATTTATTTCATTTGTGCCCATTTAAATGCATTAAATCAATGGATGATGCAACTACACAAGTAAAGTTATGTTGACAACTTAGAGTTTGGTTCTTTTTGTTTCTTTGTTTTTGTGAGAAGGTCTCATTTTGTCACCCAGGAGTGCATTGGTGCAATCACAGCTCATTGCAATCTTGACCTCCCCATGTTCAGGTGATCCTTCTACCTCAGCCTCCCAAGCAGATGGCTGTAATACACATGCCTTTATACCAAGCTATTTTTTTTTTAATTTTACTTTTTTTGTAGAGGCAGGGTTTCACCATGTTGCCCAGGCTTCGTTCACTTTTGATAGTAAAGGACATCTCAAATATTTAGACGTTTACTCTCAGTTTGGGCAATTATGAATACAGCAGTTATAAACCTTCTTGTGTCTTGTTTGGAAACATAATTTTTAAAATGTAACTAAGGCAATGGTAAGACTATGTTTCTTTGTAAGAATTTTGGTAGAATTTACCTGTGAATTCATCTGAAGGTAGTGTTTTGTTTTGTTTTGTTTTGAGAAGATACTAATTATTGATTCAATTTCCAAAATAAATATAGGCCTATTCAGATGATTCATTTATCCTGAGAAGACTTTTAACCTTCTGAAACAGATCCAAAAAATTAGCTCATTTCATATAATGTATCCAAGTGTGAGCACAGATGTGTTCACAATATTCCTTTATTATTATTTCTTGATTCCACTGGTCTTCAACTGATGTTATTCGTACATCGTGACTTCCTTCTTTTCCTTTGTGGTTAGACAAGGTAGAGGTTTTCAAAGAACTGGTTTTTGGTTTTGTTGATTTTCTCTGATGATTTCCTGGTTTTTGTTCCATTAATTTCTGCAATCATTATGTATTTTTCCTCTATTTGACATTACACTGCTGTTTTTCTTTCATTGCCCAAGATGGAAGCTAGATTATGAATTTTGATTTTTCTCATTATTGACACAGCATCATGAATGTCACTCACTGAATATAATATCATTAAAATACACAGTTAATAAATAATAAATATGTATGCTTTACTACAATTTTAAAAATACAACAGGATGGATGATAAATGTAGTAGCAGGATATGTAGATCCACAGAAGTTAAATAATCCTGTAACATTTCATAAAATGTTGGGATTTGCCTAGACCTTCACGTGGGCAGCAGGTGTGATGAGATGCTCTCGCTGAGCCATACAGTGTCTTTCTGTATTAACCGGTTCTCAGACTATTTCACAGTGATGAGGTTGCTGTAGCTAGAAAGCCCAAGGCTCTTTCATTTCTTTCTTTGCCTTCCTTCAACACCAAGAAGAGTGGTTCAGCAGCAGCTCAGTCCATGCTTGTCAGCAGCCCAGCTCCATACACTGCAGCTTCGGTCCACATCCCCCAAGCCTCCTCGTGGGATTCCTCAGCAGCACCAGTGCACTGACTGTCTCTCTGTGTCCTCCTAGCTCCTGTTCAAGACAACTGAGAGGCTTCAGGAGGAGATGTCACCTCACATAGTAAGATACATTTCTTTTTCTGGGGCTTCTAGAATATCAAGTGAGTATCATTTTTGACTGCCATTGTGAATCAGGCCTCAGCTGTCATGGCCTCTAGCTACCAGTCACTGGAGTTTATGACCAACTGAGGCCTGATCGATGATGTCGGTCAAAAGATGACATCACTGACAAACTAGTAGTGAGCCTATTTCTCAGTAGCAACATTTTCTTCCTGAAAAATACTTTTGTATTTGGCAGCCAACATGGACTTGGACTCCTCCAGGAAGGCCCCTGTGCCTATTAGCTCGAGAGCCTGTCAGATTGCCCATCCTCCCCTTCATCCTGGGGGGGCGGTCTCTGCATCCTCCCAGCTCCCACCAGGTCTTTATGTGGTCATCCCATGAATCAGCAGGACCGGCTCCTCACTCTTCTCAAGGGTGGGGGGTCCCTGGGGTTCAGAAACTGCTCTCCCTAATGCCTGCACCCATCTCATCCGGGGAGTAGGAGCTGCTGCAGGAGGAGAATCGGCAGAAGCTGGGCAAGCAGGTAAAGGATGAGAAGAATTCCTTCTGGGAGCAGCTGGAGGAGGAGAAGGAGGCCAAGCACAACCTGGAGAAGCAGATCGCCACCCTCCATGCTCCAGGCCCAGGGAACTGGCCAGATGCTGCAGGCTGGAGAGCTGCTGGCCTGGGCACTGCAGGACAGCCTGCCGCTGGGCCAGCCCATTGCCCTCTCTCCCAGGGAAGCCCCGCCCCCCACTGTCCCATGTCAGTGTTGTCAGCCTGAGTCCCTAAGAGAGGAATCCAGGGATCTGTGGACTTAGATGGAGGACACCACTATTTTCACTGCCATTTTACACTTTATGTTCACCAGTCTAGCTACAGTGTAGCACTGCTTCCATTATGAACATAGCCACAAGCCATGGTGCTGGCAGTCCCTGCGCCCTTGTCACCTGGAGAAATGGCCAGTTACCCTGTCAGGCTCGTGGCTGAGCTCCTTGGCCTCGTGATTGCCAGGCCTGTGCTGAGTTTGCTATCTGATGTGCTACCTGGCATCACGTGGCTTCCTGAGTGATGGCAACTGCATTTCTCTGTACTGGTTGCCTGGGTGATCCCTTTTATTTATTTCATGCCTATTAAAACATTGTGATGAGAAGGAGTCCCTAGTCCTCTCTAGACTGTCAAGGGGTCCCTAGACTAATGTCAGGGCCCCTGTCCTAGATCCTATCTTAGGCCTCCACATGGCTGGCCAGAAGGCCTGAACCACCTTGGGATGGGCTAAGAGTTCATTCCAAAGTCAGGGTAGGAGTCGCCTTCGAGCGCATGTGGTTGCAGGTTTACCTGCAGATGCAAGGGCTGAGTGATGGGGACCCCATGTACACCCCCACAGGGCACTGGCCTTGCTCTCTGGGAGTGGTCCCCAGAGAGCAAGAGGCTTGGTGTGGATGAGGGCTGGGAGTCCCCACAGCAGGCCTAGGAGTCAGCCTCCCCGCAGCTTCACACACTAGATGGATGCCTTTCTGCAGAAACTCCATTTGTCTTGCCAGGAAAGTGACTGGGGGAGGCAGTTTCATAACTGGGCAGATCCCTGGTGCCCCTTTCACAGTGTGGCAGGCAGGCTCCCAGCTGCCCCAGGGACAGGTGTTTCACCTGAGCAGCTGCCATCTCGGGCATCTGCTTACTCCTTGCTCCTGCCCAGGTGGCCGACATGAAGAAGAAGATGGAGGACAGTGTGGGGTGCCTGGAAACCGCAGAGGAGGTGAAGAGGAAGCTCCAGAAGGACCTGGAGGGCCTGAGCCAGCAGCACGAGGAGAAGGTGGCCGCCTATGACAAGCTGGAGAAGACCAAGACACGGCTGCAGCAGGAGCTGGATGACCTGCTTGTGGACCTGGACCACCAGCGCCAGACCGCGTGCAACCTGGAGAAGCAGCAGCAGAAGTTTGACCAGGTGTGTGGCCATCCACCCAATCCTTTGCATTTCTTCTCCTTCCGGCACTCAGCCCAAGGCGAGGGCCTCATCAGAGAAAGCCTGGGCTCCCTCAAGTCCTTGACCGGGAGGGGCCGTGCAGGGCCAGCACTTAGAGGACCCCTAGTCTCTGGCTTGTTGAGGGGCTGGGGGAGAAGGCCAGTGGAAGAGGGTGTCTTCATGCAATGGATTGAGGAGGAACTTTTCCTTTCTGGGTTTTCACATTTTTTTCAGATTTTCTATAATGAACTAGTTTTCCCGTCATTTAAACCATTTATTTGTGCATTCATATTGCTTCCTTATTCCAAAAGATCTGAGGGAAGCTGAGGGAGATGTGAACACTGGGGCGGGATAGACATCAAGCATGGAACTGTGGCGGTCGGGTTCAGCCCACTGCGTTTTGGGGAGAAAGCTGGACCGAACGCACACACACGCTGTCGTTCTTGTGTCATCTCTGGTTGTTGCGCTGTGGTAGTGGGGTTGAGCTGTTTCTGCAGAGACTGTGGGGTCTGCATACTCTAAGAATGCACTCTTGACTAGGCATGGTAGCTCATGCCTATAAGCCCAGAACTTTGGGAAGCCAAGGTGGGCGGATCACCAGGTCAAGAGTTTGAGAGCAGCCTGGCCAACATGGTGAAACCCCATCTCTACTAAGAATACAAAAATTAGCTTGGGCCCGGCTGCTCTGCCCTGCTGGGTGCCGTAGCTCTGAGCCTGTGTGCCCCTCTCTTTCCCAGCTCCTGGCAGAGGAGAAGACCATTTCTGCCAAGTATGCAGAGGAGTGTGACCGGGCCGAGGCCGAGGCCCGAGAGAAGACCAAGGTGCTATCGCTGACCCAGGCCCTGGAGAAAGCCATGGAGCAGAAGGCAGAGCTGGAGCAGCTCAACAAGCAGTTCCGCACAGAGATGGAGGACCTCAGGAGCTCCAAGGGCAAAAGCGTGAGTGCCGGGCCTGGCAGCCAGGCCTTGGGAGGGGCACGAGCGGGGTCATCACAGAGGGTCAACACATACACACGTTCCGGGTCTACCAGACCCAGGTCCCTGCCAGTCCCATTGCTCCTGACTTGGGCTCTCTGGGGCTCAGGTCCATGAGCTGGAGAAGTCCAAGCGGGCTCTGGAGCAGCAGTCGGAGGAGATGAAGACCCAGCTGGAGGAGCTGGAGGATGAGCTGCAGGCCACTGAAGACGCCAAGCTGCAGCTGGAGGTCAACCTGCAGGCCATGAAGACCCAGTTCGAGCAGGACCTGCAGGGCCGGGATGAGCAGAGTGAGGAGAAGAAGCAGCAGCTGGTCAGACAGGTGTGCATGGGCTCCTGCTACCCCGTGGGGGCCAGGGCTGCCCTGGCTTCATACAGGCTTTCATTTTCTCCTTCCACCTGGATTGTGTTAGGGCCCTGGACCATGCCTCCCCTTCCCTGTCCAGTCCCCTGTCCTAGGAGTCAGCCACTCATTTTCTTAGAGTTCTTAGGGTCAGTAATCCCCATTGGCCCCTGGAGGGCTGGCGGATCCTGCAGAACTGGACTGAGGCACCTGGGTTCAGAGCTGGAGCAGGATCTCTGAGTGGGTCCAGCTTTCCAAGCTGTCGGTGTTCCTTCCTCCAGGTGTGGGAGATGGAGGCAGAGCTGGAGGACGAGAGGAAGCGGCACTCCATGGCAGTGGCTTCCCGGAAGAAGCTGGAGATGGACCTGGAGGCGCACATCGACTCAGCCAACCAGAACCGGGATGAAGCCATCAAGCAGCTGCGGAAGCTGTGGGTGAGGGCAGGCGGCACCCAGCTGAGCCAGCTACATGCGAGGGTGCTGGGGTGGGAACCTGATAGGGTGGCGCCTCTTGGGGAGGTCCTGGGTGCTTCCAGCCCCATCTCACTGATGGAGATACAGGCTCAGAGGTGAGTGGAAACACAGAAGCAAACAGGCAAGTGCAGGCCCAGGCATCGGGGAGTTCAGAAGGCCTCACCTAGTGCAGACTCCAGCATCAACCGCGTCCTGACGCTCCAGCCTTCTGGGCTCTGGTGTGATGGTTCCGAGAAGCAGCCTAGAGCGTGGGATACATACTTGGAAATTTTTACCTCACCAATAAACAATAGTGAACACATAAAAACACATGATATGTCATATCATGTAGCAAGAATAACCCTAGGTTTAAAATAAATTTGAGTCAGAGTCTTGCTGTTTTGCCCAGGCTGGAGTGCAGTGGTGCAATCTCGTGTCACCACAACCTCTGCCTCCTGGGTTCAGGTGATGCTCCTGCCTCAGCCTCCCGAGTAGCTGCGATTATAGGTGTATGTCCCCATGCCTGGCTAATTTTTGTATTTTTAGTAGAGACAGTGGTTCACTGTGTTGGCCAGGGTGGTCTCAAACTCCTGACCTCATGATCTGACAGCCTTGGCCTCCCAAAGTGCTGGGATTACAGGCGTGAGCTGCTGTGCCTGGCCAAAAAAAATCTGTAAACACTAACTGTAGGCAAGGACCCAGTCATGCGCTTTGGCTTGGGGAATCTGTTTTTGGAGTTATCTGCAAATGGAAAAAAAGACTATTTGGCAAAAATCTTTAGCATTAAAACAAATAGGAGGTGAGTAACAAAAGGAAAGGTGTTTCCTGCCTGTGGTGGGGACACCTGCCAGGCTGGGCACTGGTTTCAAGCGGCAGGTGCACATTAGGGGTGGCACCGTGGGCACTGGTCTCCGGCCCACAGAGGGGCCAGAAGTGGAAAATGAAGCTCAGCCTGGGCTTGCGTCCACAGTGACCAACACTGTCAAAGTGTGCGTTATGAGACGGGACACAGATTTTTGTCCTCAGTTGCTTTTTCTCCCTGTCACCAAGGTTAGTTGGTTAAATATCGAGCAGAGCACCAGCCAACATCCCTGTGTGTGAGATGACGCACGAGGGTGGGGGTGGAGGGCCGAGGGCCAAGGACCTGGGTAGGGTGCCAAGCCTCTGTCCCTGCCCCAGGCCCAGATGAAAGACTGCATGCGTGAGCTGGATGACACCTGCGCCTCTCGTGAGGAGATCCTGGCCCAGGCCAAAGAGAATGAGAGGAAGCTGAAGAGCATGGAGGCCGAGATGATCCAGTTGCAGGAGGTGGGTTGGGTGGCAGTGGAGAGTGGCACTGCTGCCCTGCAGCCAGCAGGTGGCAGCACAGGGCTTTCAGCAGAGGGCAGGGCTAGAGTCCGACTCAGCTCCAGAAATTGGCTGGGGACAGCTCTCACGTTACAAAAGGATTCCCTCCAGGGTTCCGTTACATAGCGGGCCTCCCTGGTATGATCAGAGTGTGTGTGAGTGAAATTGGCATGCCTCACATAAGATGAGGCTCCATGGCCGCCACCACCTCCTGCTGTGAATTTTGCCTGGTGAGGGAGGGTCTGAGCATCTCCGCGGCTGCCCTGTCCATGTCGCACCTGAGCCAGTCCTGAAGTGTTCCTGCAGTGTGACATGCTGGGTGTCAGTGCGTCCAGGGTGCAGCTGTCTCTTGCCTGCAGGCTCCGGAGCTGACTCCGGGCCCTGGCTCACCCAGAACAGGGCCGGGGCAGCAGTGAGCGGCTCTGTCCACGTGGTCTCCCCTGGTTAGGCCAGGACACTTGTTAGTCATCAGACACCCTGGCACCTGGCTTGATTCCTAGCACTTAAATGTAGTTGAGTTTTATAAACGTACAATGCTTTTAAGCTATGACTTTAGGGGGGCACCAGCCCTGTGAGCTAGAGAAATCCTGGAGGAAGAGCTTTCTGGGGAGGTGGGGCTGGGGAAGGGCTTGAGAGGAGGGTGCCCAGGGCTGGGAAGGATGGTCTTGTGGGGCTGTGGCTGCCTTTGGGTCACATTCTGGATCTTTGTGGCAGGAATTGGCAGCCGCACAACGTGCCAAGCGCCAGGCCCAGCAGGAGCGGGACGAGCTGGCCGACGAGCTGGCTGACGAGATTGCCAACAGCAGTGGCAAAGGGTGAGCTGAGTAAGGGGGCAGAGTTGGGAGGGACCAGGTGTGTCTCTGGGCTAGGCCCCTCACTCCTCCCACCCACCCCACAGAGCCCTGGCAGCCCGAATCGCACAGCTGGAGGAGGAGCTGGGCAACATGAGCTGATCAACGACCACCTGAAGAAGGCCAACCTGCAGGTGGGTGCCAGCACCGGCCAGCCTTCTCCCATTTGGCTCTGGAGCCACCCCGGCGGAGCTGGCCTCGGACCCAGCCAGCAGATGCACAGGCCACGTGCCACTGCTTCCCCTTCGCTTGAGGGAATATGTCCAGGCAACTGGACATGAAAGATCACCCTCTGGCTTCTCTACTGGGTGTTCAGGGTGTGGTGGGATGCTGCTGCCACCTTCCTCCCACCCTGCTCGTGCCCTCCAGCCAGGGCCCAGCCCTCCCCAAGGTCACCAGCCCTCCTCCTGCAGATCGACCAAATCAACACTGACCTGAACCTGGAGTGCAGCCACGCCCAGAAGAACGAGAAGCAGCTGGAGCACCAGAACAAGGAGCTCAAGGTCAAGCTGCAGGAGATGGAGGGCACTGTCAAGTCCAAGTACAAGGCCCCCATCACTGCCCTCGAGGCCAAGATCACACAGCTAGAGGAGTAGCTGGACGAGACCAAGTACATGCTCCTGCCCCTGCCCCCACCCCCACTGGCCTGGAAAAACCTCCAGCCCCTCTGTAGTCCTGTCCAGATTTGGGTCAGCAACCAGCTGTGTAGCTGTGTCTCCTGAGTCCTGGGGGCTGTTTTCCTCCCTCCTGATGGGGCCCTCATCCCTTCCACTGAATGGGTGGTGGGGGGAGCTTGTGGGGATTGAACAGGATCATCTGTTCCACCTCTAAAGGCAGGAGCTTTGGTGGCTATGTCTAAGGATGAGGAGGTAGAGGGCGGTCCTGCCCACCAGGACAGCTGATCTCTGGGCTCAGCAGGACTGAGACAATGGGAGTTACACCAGGCCCCAAACCTCTTTTCCAGCTACATAGATGCTCTTTGAGGCCTGTTTCCTCATTTGTAAATGGGGCTATTTGCAGTGCCCCCTGTAAGAAGCCAGGCACATCGTAGGTGTCCAGCAAAGGCCTCCCTAGGTGATCCCTAGATGCCAGTGAGGCCCGGGGAATGGGTGGGGTGACCAGATTAGGATGTGTTGGCCTGACCCTCTGAAGGAGGATGCTCCCTCTGAGCCACCTTGTCTACCACACAGGGAGCGCCAGGCAGCCTGTAAGCAGGTGCGTCAGACAGATAAGCTGAAGGAGATGCTGCTGCAGGTGGATGACAAGCAGAGAAACGCCAAGCAGTACAAGGACCAGGTTCGGGTACTGGGGGCATCCAGAGGGGCAGCAGGCGCGGCAGTGGGGCTGGCGGGCCACAGGCCCAGAGCCCCTAACCAGGGTCCCGCATCACACCTCCATCTCTGCAGGCCGACAAGGCATCCACGCGCCTGAAGCAGCTCATGCGGCAGCTGGAGGAGGCCGAAGAGGAGGCCCGGCGGGGCAACGCCTCCCGCCGGAAACTGCAGCGCGAGCTGGAGGACGCCACCAAGACGGCCGATGCCATGAAGCCTGAGGTCAGCTCCCTCAAGAACCAGCTCAGGTGAGCCGCCCCAGCCACCAGCCCCTTGGCCTCGGCACTTCCGTCAGAAGGTAGCTGGTTCTGAAAAGCTCACTTCAGCAAAGTGAGCTCCTGGTAAACCTCCTGAGGTTTCTCAACCCGAGCCCACAAGCAAGGCACTAATGTCACCAAGAAAGGACAGCACAACACAGTCTCTGCCCCTTCTGCCTTCCAGGCTTTAGCTTAGCCTTCTGAACAAACAGTCAGCTCTAGGGAACTTATCCCCAGCGTGTCCTACAAGTCTACTGTCTTTTGAATTAGAAGTTGCTTGAGGCAACCTGGCCCCGTCCTGGCACATATTAGGTGCCTGGCAAATACCTGCAGAATGAATATTGCCTACAGAGGTTAAAAAGTCTTCTTTGCATTTCTCAGGGAGCATTAACGCTCCAAACGTAGTGAATGTTTGCAGCAGAGGATCTTATTTTCTGAGATTCTCATTTCTTACCTCTTTTTCATGGGAATTTTTTTATTTTGGAGACTTCACTCTTATTGCCCAGGCTGGAGTTCAATGGCACAATCTTGGCTTACTACAGCCTCTTCCTCCTGGGTTGAAGCGATTCTCCTGCCTCAGCCTCCCCAGCAGCTGGGATTACAGGTGCCTGCCACCACACCTAGCTAATTTTTCTATTTTTAATAGAGATGGAGTTTCACCATGTTGGTCAGGCTGGTCTCAAACTCCTGACCTCAGGTGATCCACCTGCCTCGGTCTCCCAAAGTGCTGGGATTACAAGCATGCACCACCATGCCTGGCCTTCATGGGGCCTTTTTTTTTAAGCATCAGTAGTCAGTATTGGATGTGAATGTCCTGCCGTGTGGTAGAAGGTGCCTGTCTGTGTGAACCCGCTGTGGTTCACCTGTGTACCCACTGTGGTGTCACCTGTTTTATGAGTTGGAACAGAAGGTGGCATTTTACACTTTTCTGCCTTTCCTGTTGTAACTGGTCCTGTTTGCCTGAACTGTTTGTGTGCTACTGTTGTGTATGAAGATGTCTGACCACTAAATATTTTGCGGGAAGATTTTTTTGAGAGCGCGCTTGTCCAGCTGAGCTGTGGCTCCCAAGGCTCCACCTTGCTTCTTCCTGGTGGGAGCAGCCAGGCGCCTGATTTCCCTCTCGATTTTGCTTTGGGATGTGTGTGCTGTGCTGCGCCCCCACCCCCCCCACCCCTCCCACTGCCAGACCCCACTGACTTTCTGCCTCTGCCCCCAGGCGTGGGGATCTGCCGTTTGTCGTGCCACAACAAATGGCCCAGAAAGGTGCCGCTGATTGCTGGGATGAGGAGGTGGTTGGCAAAGCGGATGGAGCTGAGGCCAAACCTGCTGAATAAGCCTCCTCTCCTGCAGCCTGAGATGGATAGACAGAGGGACACCGCAGCCTCCCCTTCCCAGACCCCGCAGCACGCCTCCCCCCTCCCCCCACACCTTCTCGATACTGCTGTGAACGTGCCTCCCACCCCCATCCCATCTCCCTCCAGGCATTGTGGAGGGCATTTGGCTTCCTCTGCTGCAACCCCTTCCAGCTCCCTCCCCCACTCAGAATCTGATACCAAAGAGACAGGGGCCTGGGCCCAGGCAGAGAGTGACCAGCAGGCTCCTCAGTCCTCTCGCCAAAAAGCACAAGATGAGGCGGCGAGGAGGGCAGGCCCCTGGGGAGGGGCCAGAGTTTTCTATGAATCTCTTTTTCTTCAGACTGAAGTCCTATTTGGTAGTCAGACACCCCCGCAGGCATCAGCCTCCCCGACCTCTGCCACCAGCGCCCCCACTCCTCCCCTTTCTTAGCTGTTGGCAATCACACATGGTAACCTCACACCCTGTGCCCCGTGGGCCTCTCCCTCCCGAAGCTCTGGATGGTCTGGAAGGAGCAGGCCTGGGGGCTCCACCTCTGTGCAGGGCACAGAATGCTGGGTGGTGGGGAGGAGTGGATTCCTCCCCACCAGTTCCAGGCCACTGTCTCCCTCCTGATTCTAAAACGTCTCAAGTGCAATGCCCCCTCCCCTCCTTTACTGAGGACAGCCTGCCCTGTCACAGCAAGGCTGTCGGGGTCAAGCTGGAAAGGCCAGCAGCCTTCCAGTGACTTCTCCCAGCACTCTTGGGGACCAATATATTTAATGGTTAAGGGACTTGTCCCAAGTCTGACAGCCAGAGCGTTAGAAGGGCCAGCGGCCCTCCCGTGCGATCTTGTGCCTGCTCCAGCACGGGGCCTGAGGGTAGTTTACCTGCACGGTTGACTCAGTATAGTTTAAAAATCTTCCACCTGCACAGGTATTTTTGAAAGCAGAAAAAAAAAAAAAAAAAGGTTTTCTTTTTTCCCCTTTCTTGTAATTAAAATTCTGAGTCTTTCTCACTGCCTTTCTTTAGAAGAGAGTAGCTTGTCCTCACTGGTCTACACTGGTTGCGGAATTGACCTGTATTCCTAACCGTTTTGTATACGCTGCATTGAGACTTATGGCAAGAAGGCATTTTTAAAGGAAACAAACTCTCATATCATGAAGCGATATAAAAGCTGCATATGCCTACAAAGCTCTGAATTCAGGTCCCAGTTGCTGTCACAAAGGATCGGGTGGAACTCCCGCCCTCCCCGCTGTTTTATATAATGAAAGTCCCTGAGCATGTGCTGCACCTATCACCACTACAATAAGCTGGTCCACAGAGGTTTTCCACCGAGCGTCACAATAAACAGTACCATGTGCTACCAGCTGTGTCTGTAGCATTCGTCTGCGGCAGGGGGGGCCCTGGATGGGACTGGGCCTGGCTCCTGTGGCCAGTGCCGGCTCTGCATTGTCGGGGAGCCAGACTGGCTGTTGCGTAGGCTGCGCTAGCTGTGGGCAGTTGTGCAGAAAAGGTAAGGTGGAAAGGTGGGCTAGGCCAGATCTGAGGAGGCTAAGAACATCTTAGAAACCTTGGTTCAAGGCTGGGCGCGGTGGCTCATGCCTATAATCCCAGCACCTTGGGAGGCCTAGATAGGTGGATCACCTGAGGTCAGGAGTTTGAGACCATCCTGGCCAACATGCTGAAACCCTCTCTCTATTAAAAATACAAAATTAGGTGGGTGTGGTGCCAGGTGCCTGCAATCCCAGCTACTCAGGAGGCTGAGGCAGGAGAATTGCCTGAACCCAGGAGGCGGAGGTTGTGGTGAGCCAAGATCACGCCATTGCACTCCAGCCTGGGTAAAAAGAGCAAAACTCCGTCTCAAAAAAAAAAAAAAAGCTGCTAATGCTTCTAGGCTGGAACCCATGGGCCTCCATCTAACATTGTGCCGTTGAAGACACTGCTGATAAATCAGTTCTGAATTTATCAGAGGGACCACCTCCACCAGGGCTGGCGCGGCTGCTAGGTGCCGCCTCTGCCTGGAATACTGGATTCTGGAATCACCCCACCTCTGTTCCTGCTACAACTACAGAAATTTCCCTCAAACATCCCGTTTGATCATGGCTGGGATTCAAGCCCGGTTTGTGATTCTGGAACTCACATTCTTAATCACTACAATAGGACTAACAAAAGATTTTAATCTAAATATAATGGATAGCTTCAAAGAGCTTAGAGTAGATAATGTGTTCTATAAATAAGAACAGTCTGACATGGAAAGGCAGCATACCTAGTTGCAACATGGTGCAATTTCAAAGTGAGAACAGAGTATTCTAAAAAGTTCCCAAGAGAAAAAAAAAAAAAACCCTCACTAAGGGATGGAGTATCAAATCAGTATCATATTTCTCATTGGTAACATTGGATGCTAGAAGGCAACAACACAGGCATTTTCAACTCGAGACTTTCTGAAAGAGCGTACTTTGTTGTTGTTTTGGTTTGGTTTTTGAGATGGAGCCTTGCTCTGTCACCCAGGCTGGAGTGCAGTGGCACAATCTCAACTCACTGCAGCCTCCACCTCCTGGGTTTAAGTGATTTTCCTGCCTCAGCCTCCCGAAAAGCTGGGATTACAGGCATGTGCCAACACACCCAGCTAATTTTTGTATTTTTGGTAGAAATGGGGTTTTGCCATGTTAGCCAGGCTGGTCTCAAACTCCTGACCCCAGGTGATCTGCCAGCCTCAGGCTTGCAAAGTGCTAGGATTACAGGTGTGAGCCACCACGCCTCACCAGAAGGAGTGTACTTTGGAGAAAAGATAAAAATTAAAATATTTTTCAATAGTATTCTGAAAAAGGAGTAGGGAAGGTGGGAAAGGGTTGAAAAACTACCTATTGTGTACTATGTTCATATTTTGGGTGATGGTTTCAAAAGACGCTAAACCCCAGCATCACGGAATATCCCACATGACAAACCTGCACATGTACTCCCTGAATCTACAATAAAAATAAATAAATACATAAATAATATTCTGAAATTAAGTTCCAGATCATTTCTACCTAGGAAGAAGCGGCAGATAGCTAAGGTAGAGAAGTGAAAACATGCTGCTTGTTGTCTTATTCTGGATGAAAATCCTAATTAACTCTGTCCTTTCAAAGAATAATACATTTCATAATGCATTTAAAATGTCAACGGTAATTGCCAAAGAGACAGAACTAGCATGCATTACTTCCAAACCACTGCCAAAAAAAAAAGGGAAAACTTAACCAATGTCACAGGGAAAAAAAAGAACAAATTTAAAAACAGGGTAAATAAATATTTCTCAAAAGAAAACACACAAATGGACAAGAGAGATATGAAAAAAATATTCAACATCACTAATCACGAGGAAAATGCAAAGCAAAACCAGTATGAAATATTTAATCCCAGTTAAAATGGCTATTACCAACGAGACAAAAAACATGCCGGTGAGAACATGGAGAAAGGGAAACACTAGTGCACTGCTGGTAGGAACATACATGTACATGTATAAAATACATATACACACATACATATATATGTGTATATATGTGTGTGTGTATATATAAATATATTTTTTTTAAGGAAATCAATATGTAGAAGAGATACCTGCACATCCATGTTTATTATAGCACTAATCACAGTAGCCAGCATATGGACTCAAACTAAGTATTCGTCAATAAATGAAGAAAGAAAATGTAGTATATATACACAATGGAATATCAGCCATAAAAAAGAATGAAATTCTGGTATTTGCAGTAAGAGCAATGAAACTGAAGGACATTAGGTAAAATAAGCCAGGCATAGAAATATAAATATTGCAAGTTCTCACTCATATGTAGGACCTTAAAAGGTTGATCTCATTAAAGTAGAGTAGAAGTATGGTTACCAGAGGGCAGGAGGGTGGGTGAGGGATGAAGAGAGGTTGGTTAATGGGTACAAAAATACAGTTAGATAGAAGGAAAAAGTTCTAGAGTTCAACAGCACAGTAGGGTGACTATAGTTAACAATAATTTATAGTATATACCCAAATAGCCAGAATAGAATATTTGTAATGCTCGCAACACAAAGAAATGATAAATGTTGAGGTGATGGATATCCTAATTGCCATGATTTGATAAGTATACATTATATGTATGTATCAATATATCACATGTACCTCATAACTATGTACAATTATTATGCATCAATTTTTAAAACATGGTAAATTGGAATTTGAAATATCAGGAATAAATTCAAACTTATCAATAAGCACAATAAACATAAATGGGCCAAATTTCCCTAATAAAAGACAATGCCTTTCAGTTGGGGGTACCTCTTTTTAAAAAAACGCAGTTAAATACTATAGATAAGACTATGTAATACAATAAACAAGTCAACATAGAAACATTGAAAACAAAAATGTATATCACAAAAAGTTTAACAAAAAGAAAGCAGGAGGTACAAAAGAAAAGTAAAAACAAATTTCCCTATAATCATTATCTGGTTGTCACTCCAGAAAGAGAAGTAGGCATAAAGTTGGTACATGAGAGTTGGAAAGATAAGTCAGTTAAGCATTTAAGAGACTAATTTTTAAATTTCATATGGTGGTGGTGGTGGTGGTGGTGAGTCTGTGGGTGGTGGAACACATCCATGGCCAGATCTAGAGAGTAGCAGCAGCCATCAATGTCTGCTATTAGTCTCCTGTGGATTTTAGATCTAACATAAAGATTGCATATGACTCATTCTGCAGGGATGACCAGAAGTGACAATCTAAAGGTCTTCACTGTGAAAGTGGATGCATCTCTGTCTTCTGAGAAACTTAGATCAGAGAACATGAGCCATAGATAGGTATAAAACCTTCAGGCCTTTATTTATGCTGTTTTCTCTGCTTAGATGACCTCCCACTGTACTCATTTCCACATGTCAAAATCCTCCTTATCCTTTAAGACCATCTTGTTTATGAAGCTTAACTGTACCCCTACCACCAGGGAGGTTTCCCTCAGTACTCATTTTGTATCTCTCTCCATATATTTACTGTACTCTATATTATGGATTGGTTTGTATTTCTGTTTATCTCTTTATATAAGCTCTTTAAAGATGCATACATAAGTCAGCTATTGCTGTGTAACAAACAACTAACATTTCAGTTGTTTACAATGACAAATGCTTTTGAAAACTCACAGATCGGTAGAATGACTGCAATTTAACTGATCTAAGCAGGGATCAGATGGGCCGGTCTACTTATTGCTGTGGGAAAACAGCACTTAGCTGTAGGCTGTGTAAGCCACCACACCCAGCCAGGAATGAACTGTTAACATATACAACAACATAGTTATCTCACCATAAGTAAAAGAAGCCAAATGAAAAGACCACATATTGTGTGATTGTGTTTATACCATAAGTAAAAGAAGCCAAATGAAAAGACCACATATTGTGTGATTGTGTTTATATGAAATGTCCAGAATAGGTAAATTTATAGAGACACACAGGCCCAGGCACAGCTGTCACCTAAAGCTACAGATGTGAATCGGGATTGACTGCAAATCAGCACCAGGGGTCATTTTGGTCACAATGGAAAATTTCTAAGACTATATTGTAGTAATAATTGCACAACTCTTTTAATTTACTAAAAATCTTAGCTGGGCATGGTAGCCCATGCCTATAATCTTAGCCACTCAGGAGACTAAGGTAGGAGGATTGCTTAAGTCCAGGAGTTCAAGGCTACAGTGAGCTATGATCATGCCACTGCCCTCCAGCCTCACCAACAGAGGAAGACGCTGTCTCTTTACAAAATAAAGATGGATACAAGATGGCCAAATAAGAACATTCCATGCTCATGGTTAGGAAGAATCAATATTGTGAAAATGGCCATACTTCCCAAAGTAATTTATAGGTTCAACACTATCCCCATCAAGCTACCTATGACCCTCTTCACAGAACTGGAAAAAAAACCACCCTAAACTTCATATGGAACCAAAAAAGAGCCTGCATAGCTAAGTCAATTCTAAGCAAAAAGAACAAAGCTGGAGGCA